ATAAGGTTACTTAATAGAGCACCAAATAATTCAGACTTGATAACTTCTACAAGTATTAGGGGAATTCTATGTAAAACTACATAAAACCTTTGCTTCTGAACACCATCATGTCCTATTTCTTGACATTCATGAACTATAAAGATATTATATATGAAAATCTAAAGATGTACTCCAGTCTCTCTTGAATCATTCTTTTAATTTAGTATCCATTCCCTAATAAATGAGTTTTGAAGCAAATATGTTAAAGTATTTAGATAAATACAAAAATTATTGATTATGCAAAAGTATGCATTTTAAATGAATGTACACGTTGAAGTCCTGTGCATTGCAACATGACTGGATTGTTTTACTTAATAATCTTGACACCATTCCCCTAATAAAAAATAGAGTACCATTGACTATGTAAACACTTTGAATAAAAAAATGGCTAGCACATCATTATCCTATGAAATAAAATGTCCGCATTTACTATCCAGATTCATTTCTAGAAATGTTATCATTTTTGAAAATGTAAGTAATACAAAATATTAGGTCAGGAAAGTGATATGAGTTCATTAGTAAAATTGATGTGACTTAACTGTACTGGAAATCCAAAACATTAATTTTTAAATTAAATTGTGTTATTCTATATAGATCGTGAATCATAAAGTATTCAAGTGAAAATAAATACAAAGCCAAATTCATCCAGTTTTACAGTAATCATGTCTAGTATTAGAAAGCGTTTAAAATTTTTGTAAAATACATGTCAATTATAATTCACATAATATAAACCACATTTATATCCTGTTGACGTGACAAAATAATAAACTACAATTGAACCATTTTGAGTTTATATTTTTAGAATTGAATTTTATTCATTTGAGTTTATGTTGAATCATCATGTCCCCAAAGATATTACCAGAATATTTTCTTAATCATACATTCTTGTTTCTCCAAGCATCCAGTTAACTATATCTAAGTGACTAAATAACATTAATCAGTTTCCTCTAATGAAATAGATGCTGATCATGAAATCTGAAAATGTTACCTTTATATAGATGGTAGATAAACGGTGATAACAATAAATGTGTTTATTAACTTTCATATTTAGTGAAGCCAATTTTTAAGTTACTTTTACTGCTACCAACAGAATTTGGCAAGAAAAATCCATTGCAAAATAGTGAGCATTTTAGACATTGGCTTTCTCAATCTGACTCTCTGTCTGACATTAAAAACTCCAAGTATTCTTGTACAGAAAAATGAAATAAAAAATCCCAGTGCTTTGTTTGCAACAGCAAAAAAGCTAAATGAAGATAGTAATTTTACTATTTGGTTTTAAGCCTTTTACAAATAATTTTCTTAATCATTTTTAAATTTCCTCATAATTTAATTTTTGAACTTAAAGAGAATGAAGGGAAAATATTGTATAGCCCTTCAAAATTTCAGTGATATAAATCTTCGCTTACCTAATGGAACAATAAATAGTCAAGAGATTTAGTCTTAGTATTCTCTAGTAGTTGAAGCAGATATTTCCCATATTCATTTTTGGAATGAAAACTTGGAATATTTCAGTAATTGGCTGAAACAAAATACTTCATACAAGACACTGGTAGAAATCTGGTTATGACATTCAGTAATATCAAAGAAACAATCATATACATGAATTTAACTCATTCATTTTTCTATAGTGTAAAATAATTAATGAAAATGTGCACTGAATCAAATCAAGATGCAACTGGTGGCAATATGTTAAGGTGTCTAAAAGTAATGAATTTGAACATGATCAAGTTTGCGTGTTTTGGTATAGTACAGAAAGCATAAAATACCCTTAAATTGTGACCTTTACTCTCCTGCACATATATGACAGAGAAGGGAATGAATGTTTATTATGCAGGAAAAGAAAATTATCAATGACATTATTATGAGTAGGCCTTCCATTTAACTGCATATTATGAAAAATTATTCGTAAGAAGATCAATGTTTTCTTTCAAATAAAAATAGTATGTGAGCATTTCCACTCTAAACATATACTTCTCGCTTGTACTTCCCTGATCTCACCTTTTAGCTAGAAAAACTAAAAGCTCATGAGCCCTCAAGGGCAAACCTCTTTAGCCAGGTCTCATTTGGTATGTCACATCTTCTCCTCGGGCGTCCCTGTGAGATCTTCTCTTCTATCTTTCCCTCATTCTGTGGCATCATTCTGCTCTTTTCCTACATTTCTTCTCTCTTGCTGATCACGAGTCATCTACTTTATGTTGTCTGTCTTGTTCCTCTTTCCTATTTACATCCTTCATTTTTGCTTTCACTGAATTAAAAAGTCATAGAAAGAATGCTGATTTAAACACTAATTTCAAATTCTATTTAAAAATACAGATTTTGGAATTATTTAAAGTACATATTTCTAAAAACAATGTTACCTAAAATCATAAAACACCTTTAATAAGCATTATTGTATTTTATAATTTTAACAACATGACTATTAGTGCATTTGCATTGGTAAAATTAGGTGATGTTATTTTGCCATTATATTTTTTCCAAAAATTGTCTTCTTTTTCCACCTAAAAATTTCAATGTAGGTATGTTTTAATAATTTTCTCATTTTCTTTTATGGATTTCACTCATACAATATTATTTCATAAATTTTTATAATATATATTGAGATACTTATGATACAATTATAAAAATGCATGTAATAAATAAGAGACCTATAAAGAAAAAAAGGTAATAGAAGGGACATGTATCATATCAAATGTATTTTTCCCTCCATAGTTAATATTTCTATATCACCTCTACACACACACAAAAAAAAGCAGTTCAAACAAAAATGTTGACTATGCAAATGCTATGATAAAGAGTAAATAAAACTTAATTAGATTAAAATAATAAGAAAACATATTATAAAACAAGGTCCAAAATTACAATACTATCACCTGTCTCTGGGTAACCCAAGTAATTTATCATTCTTCCCTTAAGCTCCAGCAAAAATTAATTAAGGAAAAGTTTCTATTTACAGAAGGAAGCATAAAAATCACAATAAAACTCTAATCTCTTTATTTTAAAAATAAAATATATTTTTCTCAAAAATGTGTAAAATAATTATGAAATTAAGGAAGGGCTTCCTATCAGTAATAACTTTATGAATGGGTGTGTGTAAGAGAGGAGAAGAGAGCAAAAGAGAAAATAGGAAAGGCAAGAAGGAACAGAGGGAGACAGGGGAAAGGCAGGGGATAAGATGATAGATTTTCAAGTGTGCAATTAAATGTAGCTGTTTTTTAGTGGCAGTGAATTAGATAGTCCCCTGCAGAAGTCACTTGCAACCTTTTGAGTCTGTGTATTACTAAAATGTTTTGTGGTCAAAATAAAATTTTCCTTCAGTTTTTACAATCTATAACTGTTTATTTTGTTGCAGGAGCCCATTATTCTTTGTGTTTTAAAGCCATCTATGTTCTTTAAGAAAAGCTGACCTAATAAAATGGGTTTGTAAGCCTTAAATATGAATCAGGCAAGAGTTCTGATATGAATTGGTTCCTATGCAATTGCCAGAAAACAGAACACGCTCAAAGAAAAAGAAAAGTAAATGAAAAGTTTCCTTTGTAAGCTCTGTAGCATTATCTTATTGTAGCATTAAGCAACTGTATGTCTACAAGCTGTCAGTACACTTCAACTAAACATAGCAATTTGGATTTTACAACCAATGTGACAACTGAGTTAATTTTAGTTCATAAACCCAGAGATCTCATCATTTAAAGTTACATTGTGAGATGGTGTAACTTGGTAGAAGTTAGTTGTAAAATGAAAAGCAGTTTTACAAAATCTTTTGCTCCTTTTAATTTGGTTATGGTGATTTCTTGGTTAGTATGCCAATCTCATATGCCAAATGTGTACTTTCCTGAGATTTAACCAGACTGCAGATAGGATGAACACTAAGAAGACTAATTCACAGGCATTGAAAAACTAAAATAATCCTGAATATAGTTTCTTTCCTTTTTTACTCAAAACATTAGATACAATTTGCTTTTGATGTGCAATCTGGCGTTTATTCGCCAATGTACTCCCAAACTATGATATGAAGATGGCACAATTACAAAGAGAGAAGCTGATCATCATCATTTGGGATCCAATTGTTTGCATGGTGAGCAGTAGGCAGAACTAAGAACATCCTCTCTAGAAAACCTACCAACTTCTACATCAACCTTCAACCTAGTCCCACCCCAATGTTTCAAGCTCCACATTACCCTATGTACATAACCCAAAAGGGATAGTCCCAGGAAACTGACATTTGTCTTTGTCCTTTAAAAAATAAAAAATAAATAAAAACATGACCTGTCTACTTTACTGTATGTTTGGGGGAGCTTTTGCATAACTAGTATGAGCACACGTTCTTATTGAACTTGCACACACACAAACACACACTACCTACAACAACAGAAACAGCAACACGCATCCCCACACACTATCACAACAATCACACCGGATGGGGATTGAATCACCCTCTGGGATGGATTTTACACTTCTGACCCCCTGCATTCCCCAAATGCTGTGCTCTGGGATGCCAGCTTCGGAGCCCAGTTTACAGCTCAGCCAGCCAGCCAGCCACCACCACCACCACCTGCGCCCCTAGAAAGCCCTTGGTGTCCCTGTTCAAGAGAAAACCTATCTGACCTGTACAGCCACAAAAGAACAGGAAAGAAAACCAAATAAAGAAATTAACAAATAACCATAAGCATCCAAAAGCCATGCAAGATATGGGCAAAAAGCTAGAAAGTTTTAGTAGAGGACTACAAACTGAAGTGTTTGCAGGACTTTTTTAGACCCAAGCCCTACCACTGAACGCAGACTTTCAGAAGAGAGCAACAGTCAACGAGTTCTTCTAGTCCTCTTTCCCCCACGGATTTACAGCCTGAAGAGGCAAGCTAGTTAAGGCTAACTCTCTACAGACAAAGTTGGATGAGGGTGATGAGACATGCAGAAAAGGGCAAAGGGGTAAGAGCAAGTAACGAGTCAAGAAAAGAATGTCTCACCTAGCATTGGTGCAGTCGGTGAACAAAGTTTCAAAGTCTTTCCTGGTTATAAGTTTGCAGCGGTTCACTCCGGGCTGGATGGCTCCCAGCCCGCGGAGAATCCGGACCTGCTCGACAGTACACACTACCGGGGATATGTCCAGTCTCTTCAGCTTGGTGTACACCGTGTGCAACCCTCCCACCAGGTGCTTGAGAAAAAGATCAAAGACTTGCGGTAGGCAGATCAGTTCCTGGCCGTCCATCAGGAATGAAGCCACCTTCACCCCGTGCATGTCGACCATCCGGCACTCGTTGGTGTTGGTATTGCCACTGCCTCCACTGCCGCTACCGAACCCGCCACCGTTGTGGCTATTGGCCATGAAGCTGTTGATTATATTAGGGGTGAGGCGATGGGGCTCTCGCGGTGTTGAGTACTGTGGTTCCGCTCGAAATAAACCCCCCAAGACACTGGTGCCACTGGAAGTTGCAGAGATCACAGGAGGTGCAGAGACAGCCATGGTCACTCCGTCTTTTATCTTGGGTCCTCGGGCCTTTGCTTTCTCGCCCCAACTCGTTTAAGTCCCCGCACTCGCACTCCTTCACCCTCGCTCCGTCTGTGGCGTGTTCTAGCTTTCTCTGAACTATTCACAAGTCCCCAGCAGCCCGGCGCACGCTGACGCTCACCCACCACCCAGCACACAGTGAGCTGCCCGAACTCGCGGGAGGCCTGAGACCCCACCTTCAACACACCCCCTCTGGAGACTGGCAGCGGACCCCAGCCAATAGGCCCCAACCCCTCAGCGACTGAGAGATACGAATGGCTGCCGCCGATGGGGAGGTGGAGACTCTCTCGCTGGCCTCTGACCACCTGAGGCAGTTCAGGGCTCTCTGGAGCTAAAGAGGCAGTGTGATGCTTAGCTTTTTGCCTCGCTATCTGAGGAAAGAATGTCCATTTGTTAAACAAAGCTCTCAAAGTAGACTATGCTACAAATCCATCTTCTCCACGACCCACTAATGTAGAGTTAGGAATACAAAAACCTCATCTTCCTCCAGCCACTTCGCACCCAAGTTCCTTCGAGGAAAGTGAGGTGGCAGCTACAATTCCACGTACATGTTGCTCCCAAACTCGAGCTTCCAGAAGAAAAATTCCAGTGAGCTCACAAGTAAACCAATTCACTTACTCGCCAGGCCACCTAGTGCATTTGGGGTAAATTCTTCAAGATCCAGTGCTGGCAGAGTGGAAGTGGCCTCGAGCTGTGAGGTCAGAGTTGCTGATCACGTTAACCCACTCCTACGCTGACTTTCAGGAAGCCCGGTGAGCCTGTGAATATTTTGGGAACCAAGACTGGGTTTGTGGGTGCAAATGGATGCTTTACTTTATAGCACTTCCACCACTGTCCTGGAATAGACTAGGCTTTGTGTGTCCCCACCCCTCAGTCTCAGGATTACCCTGCCTTACCCTACCCTCCGTCAAAATTTATTGGAAAATTTCTGTAATAACTCAAAACAGCCATTACAGAATATGAGGGAAAGACGAAGGCTTGCACTCTTAAATATGGCATTTCCCTCTCTCACCCGTGAGCTTTGAACGTCAAAAGATTAGGGATCCATGTCCTAAAGGGTATCTTAAGATTCCTTTCCCCCCACTTATCAAGTGCCGCAAACTTATTAAAAGAGTTTATAATGAGCAAAATATCGAAACAGGGTACATTCTAAGGAAAAGACATGGTCTTCCACACAGCATAAGGTGGTTAGATGACCGATTCAAAGTTGTATGAAGGAGCTTTAAATCAAACCTCCTTTCCTGTGCTTCTCTCCTCTAGAGGCTGGTAGTTATTCAGAAAGTGAAATCTAGTCTTCATTTCTTTACAAAACGTTACCAACTACATAGCTAAGGCAAATCCTCTGATATTCTTTCAGAATATAAATATTTTTACAAACTGAGTGAATTTGATTTTGCCCTAATTCCACTTAGCAGTATCAAAGAGGAGGAGTGCCTAAGCTCTTTCTGCTCCTTTAATTAGTCATAAATGTGCTAAGTTGGATGTCTCTGCCTTTTTCTAGAAAATATTTTCTCCTTTGCCACTTCATCAACCATGTATTCACTTCTCTTTGGAAGGTGAATATGATAAGATATATAGATGTATGGAAATGTCACAGTGAAACCCATTAATGGGTTACAATTACTATGTGTCAATAATTTTACAAAAACTTCCCTTTGAATCCTATTTCAATTTTAAATTCTATGAGATTAACATGCTAAGAAGTTATGATGAAAGCTGATTTTCAAATACAGCAATAAATCACTCTAACATAATAGATGGGGATGTATGCAGCCACAAAATATTTTTTAAAGGCATCAAATTGTTTTTGCTATGCTACAACAGTTGTGGGAAGAAAATAAGAAGGAGCAAAGAAGGACAATTGTGTAGAGATAGTAGAAACAGAAAAGCTTCAACACAAAGCACTGGTTCTCAAAAAATAGCACAGACAGAAATGTTTGTATAACTCAAAAAAAAAAGGAAACCCCAATTTCTTCAACAGGTGTTTTGACAGAAATGGCTATTAAACTATGTGTTGAAATAGCATGTATCATAATGTATTGTGGTTAAAATTTCTGGGTGAACAGGTGTGATGTAAAGTTAAGTCATTTCAAATAACGCTACTTGTATTAAAAATCCAAAGCATAAACTGCTCCCTGTGTACAGCTGCACCCACCTTATCTATACCTATTTTTCACAGATTTGGTGTTTTCAGTAATAAGATATGCAAATATTTTGATGTTTCAAATTCAAGAAATTCTGAAATATAATAAGGAAAGAGTACATTCATTTGGGCTGTAATTATTTTTACATTAAGAACAAACATAGTTTGAACATTTTAGAAGCATGAACTAAATATCTTGTTATTTAATGTTCTGTCAGAATTACAGTAATATTTCAATTATTAACAGAAATTAAAGTTCAAATCCCAGTGGAAATCTTAGGGACTGAAATTGGCCATTGATCATTGAAGGGTTAATGTCTTTTACAAGCTTTTAGTGCACAAAAGACCCTTAGTTCCATTACTAGAATTATTCCCTTTGCAGTCCTGTAGAAAATAAATTTGATAATTTGCTTAACTGATACTTATAAATTTTAAAATGTAGTCATCTAGATATATGAGACTCTAAATGTTATCTCCTTAGGTTCTCTTTATCTTTTGATTACTCTTTCTATTACTGCTATTCCTGTTATTATCATTTATGCCTTGAGATTAAGACAATCAAATTCCACATGGAGAGTTTGTTTTTATCCCTTTCTGACTTTAATGTCTTCCAGAAGCCAAACATATTTCTAAATAAGGCTAGATTTCTACAAGGCCAGAAGAAGCCTTCTATATCAATACCCTGTAGGTTTCGAAATGCATGAAGCAGTACAAAATCATAAAGGCTGCAGTAAACAAGGTACACTTGGGAGATGAGAGGCACTAAAGTAAAACTAAGAAAATATCCAAGCTTTGATAATTAATACCAGACAAGAGATAACCACCACAACAAATATGAATAAAATTAGTACAAATATGTTATCTATACAACATCTCATCAGAACAAGAAGTTCTAGATGCCACTTCCAGTGGAATGATTTGAGACTTAAATGTAGCTTCTTATACACTGAAATGCTGTCAGCTTGCTAGCCTTAATTAGCAATTTACATTTTTTCTAATGTAATTTGGAAAACACTTTTTAGGAGGCAAGAGGGAGATTGGGGAAACTCCTATAGAATCACTTTAAAATCATATAGTGGAAGGCAGTAGCTGATGAAAGTGAAAGGGAGGGTGGCTTGCATTCTCAATTTGGAGGGGAAGGTATTCATCTGTGCATTTAGGCAAAATTTCAACTTTGACATAGTGAAATGAAAACACCATTTTAACCATATATATATATATATATATATATATATGTATATTCAAGCCTATGTAGGACTACAAAAATCCAGAGTTATTTGAAGGGGCTGGTTTTCAAAATGAGTATCCAAGCAAACTCCAAGATGATAAAAGGAATTATTTGAAGCCCTCTGTCAACTGAGGTAGTAACCTCTAATATGGCCTCTAATCAGAACCTACCAGGAGCTCTCTAAGATCCGTTTTTAGACAAACAATAAAAGGGAATTATTGGGCAAGGCAATAAATGTGAAAGAAAGCATTCATAAAACTGAGGAGTTAATTGGCTAAAGCCTGTAAGTTTACCTCACTCAATATTTTCTACGAAACTGGCTATAAAAAGATCTTCTTTGACATATATTTTTCTTTTAGTTACAATATTAAATTGAAGATGAATTCCAAGGGAACAATGCAGAAGAAGGACCATCAAAGCAGAGAATTAGTCAGAACCCAGGGAGTAATGTTTAAAATCAGATGCTTACAGGAAACCAAACATTTTCTAATAGAAATACAAAAAAATTTAATTCTCAAATTACTCATAAAATATAAGCACTTACCAACTTTTAATCTATGATACCACATGCAGTATTGTCCTAGGGAAGGAAATATGTTTCTTCTAAATCCTATCTATGTCTTTCAATATATTATCTCCTTTCAAAATGTAGGGGTTTTGTTTTTATATGTTTTATTATTTTTTTTCTTTGTAACACTGGGAATTGAACTCAGGCCCTCGAGTGTACTAGACAAGTGGCTCTACTACTGAGCTATATCCCCAGACCTTTGGCTTTCTTTTTTCTTTTTAAAAATTAGTACATGTTTGTAATACATAATGTTTATATTCCTTGTGGGGAATTGGTATGTGTACATAATATATCTTAATGATTTTTATCCCCTTTCCCTTCTCTCTCTTTCCCTTCCATGTATCACTTGACCCCCTTCATTTTACTTTTTTGTACATGACTGCAATTTATAATGTTTACATTCCTTGTGTGCGGTTGGTACATGTACATAAATAAATTATTTCCTTTTTCATCTCTTTCCCTCCCCTCTTTCCCCCTCATCCATCTCTTGATCCCCTTCCCATTTGATAAAGGTCTATCTCTCTACTTCCTATCATCTATCTTTTATTTTACTCTTATTTATACATTGTATTTCTCATATAAAAGAAATCATGCAATATTTAAGCTTGTGTGTCTGATTTATTTCACTTAACATTATCATCTCAAGGTACATTCATTTTCCTACAAAAGATTCAAGTTTATCGCTCTTTATGGCAGAGTAGTACTCCATTGTGTATAAATACTACAATTTCTTCATCTCTTGATGGATGTATAAGCTGCTTCCAAGATTTAGCTATTATGAATTGTGCTGCTGTGAATATGGGTATGCATGTATCACTGTAGTATGATGTCTAACTCTTTCAGGAAGATATCTAGGAGGGGAATAGCTTGGTCAAATGGAATTCCTAGTTTCAGTTCTCTGAGAAATCTCCATACCAGTTTCCAAAGTGGTTGCATTAGTTTACATTCCCACCAACAGTGTAAAAGTGTTCCATTTTCCCTGCAGTCTCACTAGCATTTGTTATTTCTTATTGATGTCCATTCCTACTGGAGTAAGATGTAATCTGAGTATTGTTTTAATTTGTACTCTCTAATGGCCAGTGATGTTGAACATTTCTTCATGTATTTATTGGCCATTTGTACTTCTTCAGTGAAGTGTCTATTCATTTCAATTGCCAATTTTTTGATTGAGTTTTT